TTGGAAACCCTGTGGGGCAGTTCCACTCTGTCCTCTAGGGGCGCTGTGAGTCAGAATGGACTCCACGGCAGTGGGTGTGGTTTGGGCTTTGCTTCTGTAAAGATTGACAGCCTTGGAAACGCTATGGAGCAGTTCCGCTCTGTCCTACAGGGTCACTGTGAGTCAGACTTGATCTGACAGCAGTGGGTTTGGTTAACGGGCTAGTCATTTAGTCTCAGCTACCACCATTTCTCCCATGGACTGCTATAAAATCTACCTGGTGGCCATCTACGCACCTCTGCCCTCTCTGAGTCGTTCACCTCACAGCAGCTAAAATGATCTTTCCAGACCCGAATTTGATTCTCTCACACATGCCATTCCCCACTTTTGCTGCACTGCCCCCTCCTCCAAAGGCTTGCAGGATGAAGACTAAATTCTGACAAGGCCACCTGGTCTGGCTCCTCCTTCCCTCGGGCCACACTTCATCGTCATGCTTCCTGGTTATCCCGTCTGCAGCCACACTGATCTTCTGTCCGTCCCTCATCTCACTGTGCTCCGTTCCCTGCCTCAGCCTTGTACCGACCGTTCCCTCTGCCTCCACCATTTCTCCCTCTTGTCTTTGCCAACCCACCCTGGTCAGCTAACTCAGAGGGGCCATTTTACACTGGTCTGTGTCACTGCACCTCTTGGAGTTTGTTCCCACTGTCACCAGAGCACCTCCCACAGGGCCTGGCTCTCTGCCTGTGAGCAGACACCTGAGGGGGAATGAATTATTGAAGGAAGGGAGGGACTGAAGGAGGGGTGTCAGCTTGTTTACCACCTACAGGCCTAATTACAGACATCTGATGTCCTGAATCCCGACCTGGACCACATGCCAAGGAATTCAATTGTTTCATGGAACTCAGTATGGAACAGCAAAACGTAACATATCTGTTTATTTACCCAGAAGGCTTAGTATTAGGTTAGGCCAAGAACACACGGAACTTTCTAGAAGTGATGATGTGGATGATGACGTGCTCCTTTGTTGAGAACCTGTTATGTGCTAAGCGCTCACACCCATCCCAGGACTCAACAGCCTGACTTCATGGATGAGGACGTCATTGTGTGGACTCTGCTTCAATTCAGTAAATGTGTATTAAATCCCTTCCACAGACAAGGCGAGGGGCCAGCGGGGACAGGGAGACAGCTGCCCCGAGCTGTCTCCCTGTGCATACACAGCCCTTCTATTCTCCCATGATTGATCTCTCCAAGAGTTTATCTACCTATTGTAGGTACTCTCCTAAGAGCACTTTGAACTTGGACTTAAAGCCTCCAAATTGTAAGAATAAATTCCTGTTTGTTAAGGCCATCCCATTCAAGGTATATTCTTGTCAGAGTGGCGCTAGGTAACCAGGACAAGAATATTCTAGAATATCCCGTAAAAAGGAGCACGGAGCTTAATCTGGAATGTTCTTACCCTTTTCAGTTTTCGGATAAAGAGTGTTAGCAGGAGCCAGAACAGGGTTGCGGCCACACAGGTGCACGTCAGTGTGATTAGCTCCAGATTAGACTTGTCCGAGGTTCCTGGGGAGAGAAGGGCAGCCAGATGGGGTTAACAGGAAACTCAAGCTGAGAGTGACTGTGCTTTTCTCAAAGAGACCCAGTGCCCCCACATGGCTCATCACTGGCCGACTGGACTAATCTGTCATGAGAATTCGTCCTGTGGGACAGGTCCTCCCTGACGTTCCAAGTCAGGCAGACGCACGGCCATCACTACGTGGCGTTATCATCATACACTCACACATGAATTCAGCAAGTTTCCAGAAACATCTGCTGGGGAGTCTGCCCACTCTGTGGTCCCAGAGGTAGCTAATTAAAAATCAGAAGACACATTAAAAATGGGAAAAAATTAAGGCAGGAACAAAAGCCCATTGAAGTGCTAAATCTGGACTAAGTTTCATCTCCCTAATGGGTCTCAGAGGAAATTCTAAAGAAAAAGGGAAAAAAAAAAAAAATATATACACACACACACACACACACACACACCATAAAAGAACTCCTCTGGGATTCACAGAATTCTTCATAGTAGATTTAAAAAACAAAAAGATGGCTCGGGGACCGTCACAGCTGTACGCTTCACTCCTTTTGGAAGGACCAGTCCCAACTGCCCACCTCCCGCTCCCATGTCTGGGGCTCTCTTTCCAACCTTTTGAGTAGGGAGCTCCTGTGTGGGGACAAGCAGGGAATTGATAGAGCCTGTCTCCTCACTGCCCAGAATCCCCGAGATGAAAAGCTGAGCCTTGTCCTTCCAAGACCAAAAAGAGAAGACCCAACCCATTCAAGTGACCCCTCCAAAGAGACATTTGTCAGGCTTTGTAAAGGAATTCCTTGGTAGGCCACAATAGTGGCTTCCTACTTAATCGATTCCAGGGTGGTGACTTTAAAGTCATGTCCTTATTCTTTAATCTCATGAGGAGGAGACAGAAAGCTTAGTATTATGTTGGGCCAAGAGCAAGTGGAACTTTCTAGAAGGTGATGATGTGGATGGTGCCAAGCTCCTTTGTTGAGCTCTTGTTGTGTGCTCAGCGCTCACACACACCCTAAGACTCAACATCCCCGTTTCATGCATGAGGACATCATCTTATGGGCCCTTTGTTTCATTTCACTAAAGGTGTATTGAGTCCCTACTACAGGCAAGGCTGGGGGCTGGAGGAGATAGGAAAATGAAGAGAAAGTTCTCACTCTCAAGGAGCACCCTCACCATCTAACCAACAGGCTTAGGCAAATGCCAAGGAACTAGAAAAGACGAGCCTTGAAGACAGTTCAGAGAACCTAGTGCTTTTCGGAAAAGGTAGCATGTGCAATGGATTTTGATCTGCAGGGAGCAAGGCTGGGAAGGGCATTATAGGCAGAGGGAACAGTAGGAGTGAAGACTGAAAGGAGGGAGATCACAGGGCAGCGAGGGCGGTATAATGTAAGATCTGGAACTGGATCACACCCTAGGGGATTCTGAGCTTCTGGGTGATAGGTTTGAGCTCAGTGAGGCTGCAGGCAGTGTTATTAACAGCCACAGTAATACTCATAGGCACAGTGAGGGCTTACTATTGTAGGTACTCTCCTAAGAGTTAACATGTATTAATTCACCCAAGACATACAACAACCCTACCAGCTAGGTAAGATCCCATTTTACAAATGAGGAAACTGAGGCCTTGTTTAGAGATTAGGCCTCTTGCTCACAGTCACACAGACTGTTCATATGCAAATGGTGGAGCAAAGATGTTAAACTTGGTAATCAGGTCCCTGGGGGAAATAAGTGGTTTGCAATCAGCTGCTGACCTAAAGGTTGGCGGTTCAAACCCATCCAGTGGTGCTAGAAAGGCCTGACAACCTCCTGTAAATGTTACTGCCAAGAAAACCCTATGGTTTTGTTCTACTCTATATGACACATACATTGGCCATGAGAATTGACTTGGTGGCAATGAGGTTTTTTTTGTTTTTATTTTTAATTTTATTGTGATTTGGGTGAAAGTTTACAGAGCACATTCACTTTCCATACAGCAGTTCACATACACTTTGTCTCGTGACATTGACTGCAATTTCCCACAATGCAACAACTCCCCCCCACTTCCTCCCCATAGTTACCTCTTCCCAGTGTCCATCCCTCCATGCACTCCTGCCCCGAGCTGTCTCCCTGTGCATACACAGCCCTTCTATTTTCCCATGATTGATCTCTCCAAGAGTGTATCTACCTATTGTAAATGTTCAGTTCATATGCCTATCTTTTGTTTGGCTGGAAGCCCCAAGAGTGGATTCAATTTCAGACCTGAACAGCAGCCGGGGGCCATAGTCTCAGGGGTTCCATCAGACCAGCAAATCTGGTCTCCCTTTTTTTTTTTTTTTTTTATGATTTTGAGTTTTTTTCCACATTGTTCTCCCTCTCTATCCAGGATCTCCTACATAGATCCTCCTTCAAGTGGTTGATAGTGGTAGCCAGGCACCACCTAGTTCTTCTGGTCCCATAGTCATATAGGCTGAGGATCGCATGGTGTACCAGTCGTTTGGACTGTTTCCATGAATCTTTGGTTTTCTTTATTCTTCTTTGCTCTGGATGAGGAGAGACCCATCGTTGCATCTAGATGGCTGCTTGCAAGCTTTTAAGATCCCAGTCGCTACTCACCAAAGTAGGAGGTGGAACAATGTTTTTGTGTAGTATGTTATGCCAATTGAACTTGATGTCTCCTGCGACTATAGTTCCGAGCCTACAGGTTCAACTACTTGCGCCCTCTGGGTAGTTGGCTGTGATCAAGAAATGACTACAACTTTGTCCCTTGTCAGCTCTACTATATACTTGGGAATTCTTACAGAACATACAAATACACTCATAGAAACACTGTCTGTCAACCCTATACATGGTCTTGGGCACACTCTCCCCTGCACAGATATACCTAATTGTTCAGTCTGTCAACCCATCTTTCCACCCATATATCAATGGTTTGCCTTCACTGACAGCGCAATACTGTATGCACAAAAGGGTTCATCTTTGTTGTCTGTACCTCCCATGCACCTCTCCATGTCTTCCTCCTCCTCAATGTGTGGCAATGAGTTTTGTTTTGTTTTGAATTTGACTCCATCCTTGACCATTAAGCAGGTCTGGTGGTGTAGTGGTGAAGGCATTTGGCTGCTACCAAAAGGCTGGTGGCTCGAATGCACTAGCAGCTCAGCAGAAGAAAGAGGAGGCACTCTGCTTCCATAACGATTTACAGCCTTGGAAGCTCAGTGGGGGTTGCTGTGAGTCAGAATCAACTTGATGGCAGTGAGTCTGGTTGGGTTTTTTCACTGGATCATTAGGCTTCAAAGGGTGTGCTTCCTCACCCTTCTCCCTTCATCCATTAAGTATTTATCAGTCACTTCCTGGAGGCCATGTTCCCCGTCACAGAGCATCCTTTAGCCCTAGAGAGGACCTCATGCAGACCTTCACAGGGTCCTACTCGTTTTACTTCCAAATGGCTCATGAAATTGTCACCTCCTCTCCTACTCCAGTGTCACTGCCCAAATGCAGGTCCCCTCAGCGCTCAACCACGTTAACTTCCCAACCAGTCTTGGCTCCCTCCAACCTCTTCCCCACACTGCTCCACAGTGGTCTTGCTAAATCAGAAATGTAACTGTGTTGCTCCTCTGCCTGCCTTCCACCATTGCTCTTCCTCTCCACAACCCGTCACTGTCCAGTCCTTCATGCCTGACCCTGCCTCCCTCTCCAACCAGGTCCCCTGCTGTCCTCCCACATGCTTCAGTCCCCAAAACACCTGTCCCTTCTTCGCCCACCAGTTCTAGGCCTCCCTGTTATGCTTCTGCCATTTCTCCAGTAGAGGGCTGAGGCCACACTGGATTCATCTTTATGTCCCCACTCATCAGATTGGGGGAGCGAACGAACAGATTAAGTTTTGCTTGACTTGTCTCCAAACAGTTTCATGGTGCTTTCAAAGAGTTCAGGGTCAAATCCCTGCTCAAATGTAATTGATTCAATAAGCGTGTAGAACACTACCGAGGTCCGGCACTCCGTTCTTGGTGCTGGCAGGCAGTGGTAAGTGAATAAAACATGGTCGGGGACTTCACAGATGTGAGGTGCTATCTCACTATGGTTTCAATTTGCACTTCCCTCCTGACTATTGACATTGAGCATCTTTTCATATGCTGATTGACCATCTCTACATCTTCCTCTTTGGTGACAGGACCATTTTTTAATTGGGTTGTTTTTGTTGTTGAGCTGTAAGGGCTCTTTATATATGCTGGACAGGAAGCCTTGGTTAGCTATTGACATCTGAACTGAGGCGTATGCTCAAAGTCCGTGAAGCAGCAGGATGGTAGATGTTGGTGCTCTTGTTCACTGCGACATCTCCACTCTTTAGAAGAGTGCCTGGTATACACTGTGGGCATCCTGAAAATAGCTGTTGAATGGGTGAGTGGGTGAGTTCATCTTCACCTGCTGCTTTGTCAGATGACGGTGGAGGGTCCCTGGATCTCACGAGACTGCTTGAAAATAGCTCCACTGAAGAAACGTCAAAGTATGATGACCTTCACACTCAGTAAACATTCTTACGATGGGAATTCTGTAAACTTAAGACTTGGAGTTTGGATTTTCTCCACTGTGAGGTCTACGGCTCTCCTGATGTACACACACGCACACGCACACGCACACGCACATCCTTGTTTATGCTCCAAATATGCTTTGTGGAATTTGGGACCTGTTGAGAGGCACGGTAGCCTCTGGCAGTTGGAGATGCCGATAGGATCTTGGGACACAACACTGTCCTGCCTGAAACTTCTGCAGTCATTTCCCTCATGGAACACCCTGAGAGAGGACCCCTCCCACTGTGGGAAATTTCCCACTGCATTCCAAGAGCAGGACGCTGACCCCCAAAGTCTAATTCCACAGGCCTTACTAAGGCAGCATTCCTTTCATGGGACCCAATGTGTGCAAAAAGTTACACACTTAAGGAATCACATTACACATCTAAAAAACATCTTCAAGATGAAAATACATGGAAATACATGGAGGCTGGTTTGGGAATGGGATGTGGGAGGAG